GGAGAGTCCTCCGCTGGTCTTCAGCGAGGGCGGGATGGGAGAGTCCTCCGCCCTCCGGTCTTCAGTGAGGGCGGGATCGGAGAGTCCTCCGCCGGTCTTCAGCGAGGGCGGGACAGGAGTGTCCTCCGCACGCCGGTCTTCTGTGAGGGCGGGAAGGGAGAGTCCTCCCCTCGCTGGTCTTCAGCGAGGGCGGGACGGGAGAGTCCTCCGCCCGCCGGTCTTCAGCGAGGGCGGGACGGGAGAGTCCTCCGCCCGCCGGTCTTCAGCGAGGGCGGGACGGGAGAGTCCTCCGCCCGCCGGTCTTCAGCGAGGGCGGGACGGGAGAGTCCTCCGCCCGCCGGTCTTCAGCAAGGGCGGGACGGGAGAGTCCTCCGCACGCCGGTCTTCTGTGAGGGCGGGACGGGAGAGTCCTCCGCCCGCCGGTCTTCTGTGAGGGCGGGACGGGAGAGTCCTCCCCTCGCCGGTCTTCAGCGAGGGCGGGACGGGAGAGTCCTCCGCCCGCCGGTCTTCAGCGAGGGCGGGACGGGAGAGTCCTCCGCACGCCGGTCTTCAGTGAGGCCGGGACGGGAGAGTCCTCCGCCTGCTGGTCTTCAGTGAGGGCGGGATCGGAGAGTCCTCCGCCGGTCTTCAGCAAGGGCGGGACGGGAGAGTCCTCCGCACGCCGGTCTTCTGTGAGGGCGGGATGGGAGAGTCCTCCCCTCGCCGGTCTTCAGCGAGGGCGGGACGGGAGAGTCCTCCGCCCGCCGGTCTTCAGCGAGGGCGGGACGGGAGAGTCCTCCGCACGCCGGTCTTCAGTGAGGGCGGGATCGGAGAGTCCTCCGCCGGTCTTCAGCGAGGGCGGGACGGGAGTGTCCTCCGCACACCGGTCTTCTGTGAGGGCGGGAAGGGAGAGTCCTCCCCTCGCTGGTCTTCAGCGAGGGCGGGACGGGAGAGTCCTCCGCCCGCCGGTCTTCAGCGAGGGCGGGACGGGAGAGTCCTCCGCCCGCCGGTCTTCAGCGAGGGCGGGATCGGAGAGTCCTCCGCACGCCGGTCTTCAGTGAGGGCGGGATGGGAGAGTCCTCCGCCCGCCGGTCTTCCGTGAGGGCGGGATGGGAGAGTCCTCCGCCCGCCGGTCTTCAGTGAGGGCGGGATCGGAGAGTCCTCCGCCGGTCTTCAGCGAGGGCGGGACGGGAGTGTCCTCCGCACGCCGGTCTTCTGTGAGGGCGGGAAGGGAGAGTCCTCCCCTCGCTGGTCTTCAGCGAGGGCGGGACGGGAGAGTCCTCCGCCCGCCGGTCTTCCGCGAGGGCGGGACGGGAGAGTCCTCCGCCCGCCGGTCTTCAGCGAGGGCGGGACGGGAGAGTCCTTCGCACGCCGGTCTTCAGTGAGGGCGGGATGGGAGAGTCCTCCGCACGCTGATCTTCAGTGAGGGTGGGATGGGAAAGTCCTCCGCATGCCGATCTTGTAAGAATTCCACGCACAGTGTGACTAAGCTTTCTGCCTTGTTAACTCAGGTTTGTGTATGTGGCATTTTACTAACATGCAACCTAGCTCTAATATTTTGGGCTTCCTACTGAGAAGGAAGGAAGAAGCCTCCCTAATCATGAACTCCTCCTTCACAAAACCTTTTTCCTTGGAGATTCACTTCTGTGCATCTCTTTGATAACCTTGAGGATATTGATTTGATCATGAAAATGAAAATGGTTGAGATGTGTGAGATTTAAAATAACACTTCACTGTATACTTGGAACATAGGCTGGACCAAAAAAAAAAAAATGCTTCTTAATGTGCATATTATTTGTTGCAAAACAAAACAAATTGCCAAATGTATCCTTGAAATCAAAGGAAAGGGAATCCCTCAAGAGTTTCTAGTGAGAAGGGATGGTAACTTGAAGTGCATTGTATGTTACCCCTTATTTAAGCCAAGAAGCATATGGGGCAAGTAAGGACGTGGATTCTACTGTGGCTTTAAATCCTGGCTCCACCATTTCCTAACTGTGTAATCTTAGTGCAAAACCTGTCTTCAGTTTTTTCACCTGTAAAATGGGAATAACGATGGACCCCACTTCTTAAGGTTGTTGGGAGGGTAAGAGAGTGTATTTGTATATATGTGTGTGTGTGTGTGTGTGTGTATTCAGCTTGAGGGAAGCTAAATGCCTTTTTTCAAAGCTTGTGCTTAGTCGCTCGGTCGCTCAGTTGTGTCTGACTCTTTGCAACTCTGTGGACTGGATTCTCCAGGAAAGAATACTGGAGTGGGTTGCCATTCCCTTCTCCAGAGGATCTTCCCAACCCAGGGGTCGAACCCCAGTCTCCTGCATTGCAGGCAGATTCTTTACCATCTGAGCCACCAGGGAAGCCCCTTTAAAGGCTTGTCTCACTTCAACTCCTATTTTTTCTATGTAGCCTTTAGTTCCCTCATCAGAGGATTCTTCCCGGATGTGTTTTTTTTATATTTTCTTTTTTAGCCACCTGTACCTTGTGTTTTAATAGTTGGACTGTTTTTGCAACAGCTATGTATGTAGAATAACTGATGCCAGGCAAGGTTATGCTATGCTGAATACTTTTATTTATATTTTTTAATGTAAACATAATTTGCTTTGTAGGCACAATATAACAAAAGCTCTAAAGCCACAAATACATTAGACAATGTTTCAGTTCCCTCCAATCAATCTTAAATTATGGAGAAGCCTTCACAGTTCCTTTAAGGCAACCTGAGACATTCTGTACACTTCCTTCAGGAAAATAATCATGTGACAGCAAAGATGCTTCAAACAAGAGTGTTAAATGGTGAATTTTGGTACTTTAATTTTCCCCCGGGTCTTCAGGGCATTAGTTAATCTTATTGGTCAAACACTAGTTTTCTCTTCTCATTCTGTATTTCAAGGAGACAAAAGGGTTTTCTTTAACTCACCAGCACAATTTGTGATTAAAGTTGAAAAAACAGACTTGGGGAGGAAGGTCTTCTCATGCTAATCCACTGGACATAACAAAGGGCATTTGGCTTCTGAATGGAGAGTTCTGTCTCCCCAGCCAGAGGAGAGACCTGAGATGCTCATGGGTCTGTCTCCCCCAGCCCAAGAAAATGCCATTTCTGTCTAGCTCACCAGGAATGTCACTTGGGTAGCAGCTCTTCTTAAGACCTCATGGAACACTTGGCTGTGGGAGAAATGTGACCAGTAGCACAGCATTTAGCAAAAGTGTTGGGAGAAGGGGGAATACAACCTCTATGTTATCTTTCTAAAGTGGCCAAGACCTGGAATACTGACGTGTCCTGGGGTAGGAAGAGAAGTTGATGTTGCCGTCTTCTTTTGAGATACATGGGTCCCTTTGCTCATCAGATGGCATCACCCTTTCTCATCTTCATAGCTTACGTGTACATACAATGAGGAGACACTTCTTTCAGATAAATATTTGGCATAAATAAGTCATCATCACAAGCTTAAGATGGGAAAAAAGCACATGTTCAGGGAGGTGACATTTGTTCCAAAGGACTTAGGGAATAAAACAGGTAATTGCTGAGATGCGTTCATTGCCATCACTTGGGGGAAGAGTGGGTTCTACCCTAAGGCTCAGTGGTGGGGAGATCGGGCAATGCGGGAGCCCTCTGGTGTCTTGCAGAAGGCAAGTGAGTCAGGGTGCTCACCGTGTGGGCTCCTGTGTCTCCAGCTTGGCTTGCTAGTGATGGCCAACAGGACTGGGAGAAGGTGATGAGGAACCTCCCCCACCCATCTCCAGGGATTCACTGACTCTCTTTCTCTTCCTCCAGAGGAATTGATTGCCTCAAGCCATGTCAAGTAGGGTGGGGCTAGGGGTGGGCTCCTTAGGAATTTGGGAGCTGGAAAGTTCAAGGGTGTGTGATCAAGTAGTTTGGCCCCTGATTTCTGAAAAGCATGATCTTGCAAAGAGTCTGCACCATGATTTTATATTTCAGAGGAGAGGAACACACATTTGGTATCAGATAATAAACATCAACCTTTTGTATCACTAAAGTTTGTTACATGTAGAAACATGCTTTGGCAAGAAAAAAGATACTCATTGATTTTTTCCCCCTCAAATAGGGTCCACAAAGGAGGTCTTCCCTGGGGGAGGAGAGGAATCTACGGTAAAGGTGGTTATTCAGTACCTTGAAATGAAAATAGCAAGAAGGGTAATGCCATGGCAAATGTACAGACAGAGGCAGGTCTCAGGAATGACTGAAATAGCCCTACACCTGGTGCCTTTTCTTAAAATGAAACCTATAGAGCAGGAAGGGGATTTTGCTCTCATGATGTGGTTTCAGAGGAGGAATCCCTGTGGCTGGTCCTCACACGTTTGCTGTTGACCCATCTTCTGTCCTGAAAAATGCACCTCTCTTCTCCTGTGTTTGTGGTGAAGAACTGGTGAAGGGGTTGAGCATCAGAGGGTGGCAGGACGGTCTCTCAACCTTTTGACCATGAAACACCTGGATGAAGGTGAAGAGGTTGCCTCTTTAGTGGGAAGAAGGAGAGTATGACTTGGAGAGATCCTCCAGTTAATGGGCTCGTGAAAACCTCTCCCGGCCTACCCTCTTTCTGCCGGCCAAACCGGCAAGTGCTCCTGTCGGAAGCATGGGCGGCTGGCAGCAAAAAGGATCACTGGCCCAAAGAAGTCTCGGATCTGGACGGTGCTCTGTGATAACATCTTTCAACCCAAACTCGTCTTTGCCCACATCTGGCCTCTTAAGCGACAGACCCGTGGGCTCGTATCGATTTGCAAGGTTGTTCTAGAACTGTCGAGAAGGACCCAAAGATGGATGGTTTTGAAACAGAGAAGAGGGCAGAGTGTAAAATACAAATGGGGGAGGGACATAATACTGTGTGTATGAGCTTGGCACTTAATTTCAAAAACAACAGTGATCAACAGCTTTTTTTTTTTAGCTCAGCTGACAGCAGGCAAACACAACACGCACGGGACTACAGCATTTGTTCACTGGGGCACAGAAGAGTTTTCTCAGCTGCATCCTCTTCTCCCAAAGCATCCCTCACATCCTCCCGCCTGGGTCGCGGCTACTGGATGAAGGGCATCCTCTCCTTGTTCTCACTGTCTCCCTCGTGGTCCTCTTCCTCTTCGCCCGCCTCACTGGTCTCTGTGCTGTCGTTGGCCATCTGTAATCCAACAGAGACAGGAATCGGCCCTTGACTCTCAGCACCGCCCCCTCCCTCGTGGTCTAACCTGGAGCTTCACTTTCTCTCTCGGCCACTAACAGATGCAGTGCCCTCCCCCTGGAGCTCCTCCCCTCCACCCTCCTGCCTGCCTTGCCTGCTTCTGCTTTAGCATGCAGCCCGCCTCCTCAAGGAAGCCTTCCCAGACCTCTCTAAGGAACAGTCCCCCTATCGTGAGTGCTCCTCTGTGGCCCGGATACATGGCTACTGTGTCCCATTTATACACAAGGCCTGTGGACAGATGACACCCTGCCCCGCTGTGGGAACTGCAGGCAACAGGACAGATGACCCAGTCTCCTGCTGCCTTCCATTTTATCTTCTGCACCTAGCACAGTGCCTAACACACAGGAAGGCAATGCATGTTTTAGACCAGCGATCACACAGTGGTGAGAGTTCTTCCTTATTAGTACATATTACGTGCTCACCACCGTGCCAGGCCCCTTTCTCTCTTCTCAACAGCCATGAAGTAGTGGCCACAGCAGTAACTATTGCTGCCAGTTGTTTTGGAGCTGTGCAGAGGGAGATTCAGGTGACATGTAAGCGGGAGGCCGTGGGGCAGCGGAGGTCAGCAGGCTGCAGAGAAGGTCGCCAGCCAGCTCTGGGGCCGGGGACACCGTCTGACACCGCGGGTGTGCAGGCAGCAGCTCCATCTGGGCTCTGACCCCCCGCGCTGCGTCAGGTGAGCCCCGCTGTGCTCGCCTGTCCCCATCAGGAGAAGGCCCCGGCAGAGCAGATGCTCATGCTGCTTGTCGGCCCATTTGCGTCCGGTGCCGGCAGCAAGGACAACCTTCTGCCGGCCTGCTGCCCCCACGCCTTGCAGCCCAGACGGTTTTGAGTGGCGGGTGTGCGCCCTGCAGTGGCTTCAGTGGGGCAGACTCAGGGCTCTGCCAGTGGCCGTTCCACCAGGAGAGCGTGCCCCTGGGAGCCCCTCGCTGCCCCCCCCCCCACGTGCTGCGGGGCCGTGATGCGGCCCCATAGGCCCAGACCCTGTGCTGTTTGCTCTCCCTTGAAATACCCTCACCGCTGGCTGCCTCTCCTTCAAGCCTCGTCTCCATTCAGGAGGGACGGGCCCCTCCCGCCAAGAGATGCTCCCCACGCCGCAGGTCTGAGTGGCCCATCTGCTGTCAGCTCAGGTCCTGGGGTGAGAGCCCGCGGAGCTCCAGCAACGAGGATAGCGACCCCCGCCACGGCAGGGCCTGGGCTTTTACTCGGAAAGGTGGCTTTGCAGCTCCCGCCCTATTGAGAATCTGCCTGTGGTCAAGGGGGCCTTCCTACCAGCCCCACCGCCCAGCAGGACCTCAGGTGTGATGGACAGGCAGGAAGCCAGGAACAACTCTGGTGCTTGGAGCAATAAGTGGTGCAGCCGGGCACTAGACCCCCTCCTCTGATGGGACTGAAACAGACTCGGTCACAGGTTTAAAAAACAGAACTCTGGTGCACAGAAGACTGGCGATTCTGGCCTACCTTGACCCCTTAGCTGCCTCCAAACACTTGCTGGTCCAGTCCTGGGGCTTAGAAGGCATTTTAAAAATTATATCCAGATTGTTATCAGTGACTTACATGTTGTAAAATATCCTCTCACTAAATTGTTCTTCATTGTTTGAAATGGCCTTCATACCCAAGCCACATTCTGGTTACAGAAGCCAAGGAAACACTTTTTAAAGTGTACACGTTGGACTAAAACATGCCAGGATTGTAGTTCTTCCTCTTTTATCAACCACTGATGCAGCGCCAAAGCTAGACAAGCGAGGAAACAAACCAAAAAACTCCCGAGTGTTTTCTCGGCTAAGTCGTTCCTAGGACGTAGTTTGTGTGGGGCGAAGCTTTGTGCGTGTCATTGTACCTGACTGACGAGGGAGTATTCAGCCCCAGTTTACAGACAGCGGAGCTGCAGCCAGGGCGAGAACAGCTGCCCAGGTCAGGCAGGGGTTGAGAGCTGGGCTCGGGGTCCATGCAGTGTGCGTGCTGCCCGCCACACTGCAGAGCCCCCAAGGGAGCCTTGCCAGAGGGCCTGGGATGTGCGTGTGACCCTCTTCATTCCTGAGGGACAGGGCGTATGTGTGGGGGGATCCCTGCATGTAAGGATGTTATCCTGGTAAGGAGAAACGAAAGCCATGGGGCCAGCCGGAGGCAGCTCAGAGGCAGGTGGCGTCCCTCTGTTGGGATCTGAATGTGAGTTCATGAACCTTTACCAGGAATTCCTCCCACTTGGAGCCAAGAGTGAGCTCGGTAACAGGCATGGGCTGTGGTTTCTGTCCTCTCCCGTCTGCCCTCGGATGGCTCTGGAAATGTTCTCGCTGAAGCCTTTTCCTTTTCTTATTGGCATTCATCCCACCTGTGACTAACCCCTCACTCGATTACCTGGGGTCTCCCCCACCCTGAGAGAGCTGAGGGCAGAAAGCTCTCCTCCACCCCACGTGTGCCTGCCCCTGAAAACCCTCTCCTGCTGCAGCAAACAGATGCCTCTCCTTTGGACTCACCAGTGGGGTCGGGGTCTTTTCTACATCCAGAATTAACTTGCCGATGTTCCCTCGGTCGTGGATCCGCTGCATGGCCTCCTTCACCTAGGAGACAGGGAGAGAGAGCGATGGGGAGGCGTTCAGCTGAACCCAGGGGACAGGTTCAGTTCAGTTCAGTCGCTCAGGCGTGTCCGACTCTTTGCGACCCCATGGACTGCAGCACGCCAAGCCTCCTTGTCCTTCACCAACTCCCGGGGCTTGCTCAGACTCATGCCCATTGAGTCGGTGATGCCATCCGGTGACAAGAGGCCCTGGACAAGCCAAACCACTCGCTGTCCACCAGGGGGCGCTACAGTCAAAGTTTAGCCGCTCTACCCGCGGTGGTACCCAACAGTACCTTAAATTCTGGTTGTCACTCACACTCTCTGTTCTTATGCATGCAGCTTGGTTTCCTGGGTCTAAAAAATGAGAGTGATAGCTCCAGAAATGAAAGGAGGAACGTTTCTTTTAAAAAAAAAAGAACTGGGGGAGGAGAGTCCTGTGGAGTTCAGTGCTGCAGAAAGTGTCAGGGCCCATTAATCAGAGTAAATTTTGACCAATAAATTATAAAATTGTTTTTCTAGGGTCATTTGTGAGCAGCTTACTCAAATGTTACATAACCTGATTCGCAGTTTGGCTAAGGTTGAACTACATTCAGGAAAAGTTTTTCCCACCCAAGTGGAGGTTTCTCCAGAACTAGCATTTTCCCCAGTGAAGGGTCTTCCCGTTTCTTCTCAAGTGATGGGAGCTTGTCAGACGCCTCCTGGGACCCCTTCAGACAGGTGTGTGATGGAATGTGATGGAGGCTTCCAGCGTTTTGTTGTTGCTGTATGGAAAATGAACACTAGGGGATGCTGTGGAGATTAAATAAAAGAAGGAAATGGCAACAGAACGCCAGGGCTTGGCATGGATAAATCCTCCACATCTCTTAGTAAAATCTAAATGGAAATCTTGATTTTTTTTTTTTTAAAGAAACAACAGATCTACTTAAAATATTTTTCCTGAAGTTTCAGTTTTAAATATCTTTGTTCATGCATTCATTCAATCCACAAACATTCACTAGTTGTTGCTTATAGGCTACATGCCATGGTATAAAAAAAAAATTTTTTTTTTAAGTGATTTAGGGACTGCCTTTGAGGAACTCAATCTCGGGTTTATGGAGCAGTGTTTGCTTATAGAAAAACCAAAGCCAGCTTCCCATTTGAATGAAAACTTGGCAGAGCCATTAAAAGGTACATATTCTAATTGCTTTTCTGGGACTTTTGTCCTAAAGACACAATTCAAATTATGGGGAAAAAAGTATCACACAAAAGATACTCAATTGCTTTCAGTGACAAAACACTGGAGCAACTTATATGTCACAGAATAAGGGAATGGTCAAGTAAATTGAAGTTCTGACATACATCTACCGATGGGAAATGTTTTGTGGCTGTTAAAGTGCCAATTATAAAGACTGTGCAGTAGGATTAAATGCCTTTATAATATTGTTAAATGAGAAAATCGAGGTGCATATCTTTACATCTCCATAAAAACATGGGCATCCTACAATAACTGGAAAGAGATTTAGATATATGATAAAACATTATGTAGGGGAAATAGGTGCCTTTCAATTCTAACGTCCAAACATTGTTATATGGTAACCTGTTATCAAACCAGTGTTCATTATAAATTAAATGTATCTTTAAATGCGTTCTTTGGATAAGGTAGCATTGGTTAGAATAAACCTCTTTTATAGACTGATAGCATCATGTGATTGTTGAATTCCCTGCCCTTAATACATAATCCAGGAGGTTTCTCCTATTTCTGTGATGAACACTGCTTTCCAAGTGCTTTGGTATTTTGGTGCTAACAACTACTGTTTACTAAGAATCTTTAAATATTGTGGCAGGCAGCTTCTAAAACTGTTCCCAACCCCCTCCTAGGACTCACCTCCGTGTGTATTCCCCACCCCCATTAAATGTGAGCTGGACCCAGCAACTTGCTTCTAATAAACTGAATATAGCAAAAGTGATGGGATGTCCCTTCCTGATTAGGTTATAAAAGACTGACTTCTGTCTTGCAGTCTGTCTCTTGCTCTGACTCTTCTTGCCTTCTTGTTCTGACGACACAAATTGCCATGTTGTGAGCTGCCCTGTGGAGAGGTTCCCCGCCTCCCGTGGCAAGGAACGGAGGAAGAACTCCAGCCAACAGCCAATGAGAAGCTGATACCCTCCATTCAAAAGCCCCCGAGGCTCTGGATCTGCTGACAGCCAATGAGAGGGCTTGGAAGCAGATCCTCCCTCAGGCAAGCCTTGAAATGAGACCACAGCGTTTGCTGACACCTTGACCGCAGCCAAAGGACCCAGCTAAGCCCCGCCCAGAGTCCTCACCCACAGGTACCGAGATCATGAAGTTATTTTAAGTCAGTAAGTCTTAGGGATAATTTGTCATGCAGCCACAGATAATTAATACATTGTTACCTTGAATGTATAATTCTTCCCTTGCAAGATACATATTATCCCATTCTACAGATCAATACCTTGGTGCTCAAAGACATAAGCAATTTGTCCAAAGATTAACATGGTTATTGGCGACAGAATCGAGTTTCTGACTCAGATTTGTCAGACTTCAAAAACCAATGCTTTTCCCTAGTTCTGCCCAGAACTTGCTGCTTCCTTTGATTCTCACATAATGGTTTCCAAGAATTCAGTTGTTTATTACCCAGGCAAGTTACTAAACACCTGGAAACTCCTTGGAGATTAGGAACAGTTTTTAAACTGCTTCTCCAATAAGGCAGAGCCCAGGGAAACAGAGAAGCTATGTTCTTACCAGTTAAAACTGATTGTGGTGCTTGGGAGAGAGCTTCCTCCGAGGCTGGCTCTAATCTGCATATTTTTTGTACATTTCTTTCTGAAATGAACTGATGCCTTGAAGTTCCATACATGGGGGATGGAGAAAGGATTAGGAATCTGATCCCCAGTCATGCTGTTTGAGTTTACAGTTCTCCTGGGCTGCTCTTGGGGGCGGGAAGAATCTTTTATGACAGCTCTCAAAGGGAAAGAAACTTGATACCGTTTTTTGATCAATTCTTTATGAAGCACAGCGTGAGGCATTTTACACATGTTGCTTCATTTTATCTGTACCTCAAGCCTCTTAGGTGACCATAGGCATCAGAGTTTCAACAGAGGAGAAACCCGAAGATGAACAATTGAAGGGGTCTGTGGCAAGTCATCCATCTGAATGGTATAGGAACCACATGGGAATTGAGAGTGCAGCTTGCCCTTTCTAGGACTCTGGGAAAACAAGAGCAGATGGGTCTCTGGTGTGTGCACCCCAAAGTTTCCCTCCAGTGACATCATCAAAAGGTAAAATCTGCAAAGAGAGATTTTGCTCCCAAGTTGCCAGTTTATGAACTGAAGCACCTGCATGGGTGACCGTGCCCAGAAGATGGAAGTGACAACATTCAGGAAGCTACTGATCTCCCCTGTGGCTGCCAAGGAGGGTTTTCTATACAGAGCGAAGTAAGCCAGAAAGACAAAGACCATTACAGTATACTAACACATATATATGGAATTTAGAAAGATGGTAATGATAACCCTATATGCAAAACAGAAAAAGAGACTCAGATGTATAGAACAGGCTTGTGGACTCTGTGGGAGAAGGTGAGGGTGGGATGTTTCAAGAGAACAGCATCGAAACATGTATATTATCTAGGGTGAAACAGATCACCAGCCCAGGTTGGATGCATGAGACAAGTGCTCGGGCCTGGTGCACTGGGAAGACCCAGAGGGATCAGGTGGAGAGGGAGGTGGGAGGGGGGACTGGGACGGGGGATACATGTAAATCCATGGCTAATTCATTTCAAAAAAAAAAAAGGATAAAAAAAAAATAAAGCACACCTCTGCTTAGCCCTTCTCCCCACTGCATGCAGGAGAGAAGTCCGGCAGACGTGGTGTGGCCTGTCACAGCGACCACTTGCTGCACGTGACGCTGAGCACTTGAACCATGGCTGGTCCCAGCTGTGATGTGCTGGGGGTGTGAAATACACAGCACACATCAGTGATTTAATCATAGTGAGAAGGAGGGAAACTCTCTGTTAATGTCAGGAGGTGACCAGTGCATGTTCAGTGCATGGAGCTGGGCACCGAAAGCTGGTGCCCTGGGACAACCCAGAGGGATGGGGCGGGAGGGAGGTGGGGGCTTCAGGATGGGGGACACATGTGTGCCCATGGCTGATTCGTGTCAATGTATGGCAAAACCATCACAGTACTGTAAAGTAATTATCCTCCAGTTAAAATAAATTAATTTAAAAATACTGAAACAATAGCATTTTAAATATCCTGGGTAAAGGAAAACATATGATTAAAATTAATTTCACCTATTTCTACGTTTCTGCCTGTGAAAGTGAAAATGTTAGTTGCTCAGTCTTGTCTAACTCTTTGTGATCCTATGGACTGTAGCCCACCAGGCTCCTCTGTCCATGGGACTCTCCAGGCAAGAATACTGGAGTGGGTTGCTTTGCTTTCTTCCAGGGGATCTTCCTGACCCAGGGATCGAGCCCACATCTCTCATGTCTCCTGTTTTGTTTGGCAGGTGGGTTCTTTACCACTAGCACCACGTAGGAAGCCCCAGTTAAGCCCAGTAAGAAGTGTAAAAAGAAGCTGAGATTCATTTTAAAAATATATTTTCTTTAACTAGATTATTATCTATTATTTTATATACCTTATATCTATAATCTTGTTATCTATTATCTGTTTATTATCTATCTGAAATATCATTTCAATGTATGCTCAATCTAATAAAGTTATGAATGAAATGTTATATGTATATATATACACACACATATATAGACACATATCTGTAGTGCTAAGTGTTTGGAATCTGGGGTGCATTTGACTCTTAGAGCATGTCTCAGTTCAGACCAGCTACACTTCAATTGCTTGCGTCTTCCGTATTGGAGAGTGCAGCCTGGATGGCAGGACAATGGCATGAACCTCAGGGATCCCAGTGCAAAGGAGCGTCTGGCATATGACAGCTTCCAGAATGAATGAATGAGTGAACAAGGAAGTTGATTTGTGGGGAGAGTA